CCACTGGATTTAGAAGAGTTTTAGCATTCATTTTCAGTTGCATATTCTAAGGAAAGTTTCATTACCAAGGATATTAATTGACCATTCTAAAGGCAACCTCAGGAAAAAGCTTTGTTTAAAGTTTTAATAATTGCACTGCTTTTCATTCTCAGGGTTTCACCAAGGAGAGCATCACAGGCCCAGCCACCTGTCCTTCACAGAGATGGGGTCTTTGCTGTGTTCAAGAGGACCAAGCTTTTCCTCTGCCAGGCTCTGCCCAGCTCCACAACTTGCCACCCTGCAAAGAGGCACGTCAGTCACACAAGGGGCTGTGGAAGAGCTCTGCCACCCCTGGCATGTTTTACCTTGGCCATTATGGCTGGAATGGGAGCATGCCCACTCCAAGATGAGGAGAGTGGTGGGTGTAATATTGCCACAGCCTCAGAAGGTGCCCTAACCCCCTTCATCATCTCTTAGGGGTGACACAGGTGACAACTCCATTCTCAGGAGCTTTGGAGTGAGGGGGACCATGACTGCTGCTCTCTGTGTTGAGCACAACCCTCATTGTAAATTGTTAGGATTATGCGTAGCCCGTTTAATGGATTGGGTCTCTCAAAGGACCTCATCCTGGGGCATCAAGGGCTTGAGTGTGAAATAGATCCCCAGGTCACCACCCAGGAAGGCTAACTTTGGCCAAAAAGCAGTCTCCTCATTGTTGCACACAGTGGGCAGGGAGGGACTCTCGGGAGTGTCATTCCAGCTTCCAGTTCTGACCCACCTTGCAGGAAAGCCTTTCTCTTTCATAGACTGTCGAAGGAAACTAGGGAAAAAATTGGAAGCTAAAGCTGGTTTTTACTTCTATCCTGCTCCCATTGCCAACGTGCCAAGTTTCTTAAGTACGTGACTTGTATTCAAAAGATCTTCTAAGAAAGTTCTTGCCTCTGGCATCCCAGGCAACCATGCAGGACAGGCAGGTATTTTCCAGTTTGCTCTTCTAGACCTGAAAAGCCTCACTTTATTTGTTTGGGTTTACATCCTTGATTCCTTCTCACAATATGAATTTACATATCTAAAACCTAGGCCATAGAAAATGTGCGAGGAGGTAAGAAATACCTTAATTTATTAATTAAGGTAACCTTAATAAGAAATACCTTACTTCCCTGATTTTTTTTTCTATATTTCTGACATAAGATAGTTTTGGGTACTGTTTCTGGTACCCTTCCCTGTATGTGCATATACTAGGGAGCAATCTAACTTGGTGCTGAGCTACATGAAGGAAAAGAAGAAACAGCCATACAATTCATTAATTTGCCGTTTCCAGTAAATACTGTGGGATTCATTTGAGAAGTAGATTTTGAAGAGAAGTTCTCTAAAGTCCCACCTAGAAAAGAAACTTTAAAACTCAAAATAACATTTCTTTTATTCATGCAAGTAATTTGAACCACTCAGACTTACTAGTAAAGAAAAGACAGTTTGAGGAAGAACTGTGTTTCACATGACAAATTTGCTGGTTTTTCTTGCAGACCATGCTATTTTTAAAGTCAGGCTGGTCTTTCATCCCCCGCTGAAAAAGGGTGTAGGGGTCAAAAAAAACCAGAGAAGTATTAACTGGGTAAAGAAGGAACAAGAAGGAACGTGCTGCTTTGTCTCCTGCCTGTCCTCTGAGCTTCCTGCAAAGATCATCAGACTGAGGTATGAAAGCTTGTCCACGAGGGACTCGGCCTTTCCCAGGCTTTGTTCCTATTGACCAAGCATTTTCACAAGCAGGTCTGCCACTCTGCTCTTCTAGCTATTTTATTTTAAAAGAAATGCTCTTTTCATATGTAAGCACACCCACCTTCCCTCATGAAGCACAACACAGCCCCCCATTTGATATGGGGGGCTCTTAATATCTATCGCTGGGCACAGCCTTAACTTTGCAAAACCTTGAGAAGACCAGCTCAAGGTAAAGATTATTTGCTCTTAGGTAAAAGACAATCAGAGAGCAAAGTGGCTCCGCAAAGCACTGCTGTGTCCCAACACTCCTCAGTGTACAGAGCCAGTAAGGTTCTGGATATAGTAAGGATATAGTAAGGTCTCTGGATATAGTAAGGTATCTGGATATATAAAGGGGGGGAAGAAGAGAACAAGCAAGAGTCTACCAGGAGCAAAGCTTCTCAATTGGTCAAAGCTACTGCAGGCTCTTGGCGGACATCAAAAAGAGCGTAGAAGATTGACTCAGGCCTCCCAGAGGGAAAAGGCAAGAGCGGATGAGATCAAATAGTTGCAGGAAGGAAAAAGGCTCTTAAGCCGGGAGAAGAAAGGAGGGGATGAAAGCGCCGTTGAGAGAGGCACTGTCAATAGGCAAGCTGTTGGCCTGGAGGTGACTCCTAACCACACCGTGGAGAAGCCAGGCCTGGCATCCAGGGTTGTGCAGTCAGCTGGTGAGGTGGGCAGGAGGCCAGCAATTCCTCAACTACAAGGAGTGTACCCTCCCTGTGCATGTGTATACACATGTGGAAGGTATGTTTGGAAGCAAAATTAGAGAGGAGAGGAGAGGGGAGGAGAGGAGAGGAGAGGAGAGGAGAGGAGAGGAGAGGAGAGGAGAGCCTTGAGAACAGCTAAACACAGTCCAAGGATACTTAATTTTCTTTCTTTTTTAAATTTCTTTTTCAATTTTCACTTCATTATACCGTATTTGTTGCTCATTCAAGATTTACAGAGTCTAGATGAAAAACTAGGACAAACCATCATTAATGCATTCTTTCACATCCAATAGGGCAAACGATTTTCCGAGATGAGTACATGATGTGCCTAAAAACATTTTAAAGTCATCACCTGCTATCAGACATCCTATTTACCCAACACGGCGTGCTGTTTGTATTTAGTTAATCCTAGTGTTTTAAGGACCTGTTCCAGCTCCTTTTGTATTCAGGCAGGTGGCTACATTTTTGGTGAGGTATTATCATCAAGATTTGTGGGTCAGAGAATAATAACATGCAAAGTCAATGCTCATCCAGCCCTGCTTTGTTCTGTATGACTGACCTTAATACCCTCTATATCCACACCCCTAGCCTATGGATGTCAATAAAACGTCCAAGCAGCCAGTCACTCTGCTTTGTTTCATTCAGTTACACAGGAGCAGAAATTGATACTGCATGAAGAGCTCACAGCAAAATTATCTAAATGCTTAGAGAATAAATTCATTAAAGATTATCGTCAATATACTTTAGAATTGCATTTTTACCCTTATCTGCAGATTACAGGGAGAATAATTTTCTACATATCAACATAATAGTCATCACAGGAGTACCTTCTTGCCCCTATTGCTTGTGTAACTTCACTATCTTGTAGTCTTGAGAATGCACGTTCTTAGCTTTGTTTTTCTGTCCTGTGCATTTTCTTTACATTACATATTTGAATCCTAGAAAATGACTTCTTTTTCACACACAAAACATACTGTACTTTTACCATTGCAAATTGCAGCTAATACCACGCAGAGCAAAGGCAGCAGCAGCCTACACTTTGTCCACCGAGTTGTCAGTCATTTCTCAATAGTGGTGTTATCGGCCTTTTGCCTGACCTAAGCAACAAAGTTGGGCACCTCTGGGTTACAATACCTGAACAGATTTTGTCTATAGTGAGTTGGATGCCTCTCCATTAGACTAAAGAAAAAAAAAATATCCTTCAACAGGGGAGATTTATTTTAGCTGTAAAAAGCTGAACTGGGACCTTCATTTTTCTCTCTCTCCTTGTCATATATATAAACCTCTATCTTGGACCAATATAAACACTCTAGAACCTTATTACTTAACCCCTGTTATATTCCCTAAGTGGATATGTGTGGCTAATTATTTATGATGGATATAAGTGCTTCACATTTGAAGACAACCTTTGCATAATTTACTTAACTGTTGTACAAATTGGTAAAAATTAAAAGATCACAAAAATCACCTTTTGGGCATACAAATACATGATTAACTGGGGACTAAAATAATTCTTCAGTGTTCTTCCACTTCTCACTTTCTCTCTAAGACTAATTCAGGTAACATCATGCCACGAAATATTCCTCTAAACTGAAAAAAAAAAAAAAAAAAGGAACTCAAACTGTCCCGTGAACAACTTTTTTTTTTTTTTTTTCTATTTTGTTCACTTTCTAAAATTCTCTTTTAGCTTCACAGGACTTGCAATCCTTTCAAGGAATTTCAGATGTTTTCATAACTCCTTCACCAGAAGGGAGCTCAATAGCAGGTTCAGGAGCTCAGCATTCTGAAACCACCTCAAAGAACTGGTGGCCTAATTAAAAATAATAATAATAAAGAAAAAAGGATAACAGACTGCAGAGAAGGTATTCATCCCAGACAAAGTAGTTCACACGTGTTGTTCCTGTGTCTGAATTTCATCGACCTATCTGCCCCAATCATTTTATCTCACCCTCTTCTATTTCTTGCAAACACACAGAAGAGGCCATCGTAACACAACAAAGGTGCGTGTTTAGCACAGCTCTGCACCTCCATCTGCAAGGTGATAAAGAGATAGCCTTGACTTCAACAACCTGGTGAAGAAGTTGGGAGGACAGACCTTAAAAGTGCTGCTAGATAAAATGATGTTGCTTTCAGAAAGGACAGTGTCTATTTGCAAATCTTGGCAAAAGTAAGTTCAAATTAGTTTTAGATAAAAGATTTGTGCCACAAGTCTGCTGTCAAATTAACGTCATACTAAATGCATGACTAAATGTACATACTAAAATTTTATAAAAAGTCAAGCACCTGATCAAGAACAGGTAGAACTAATACCTCAATAGGACAGCACCTGCAGTTCTTGAAACTAAAAATTCGGTCACGTTTTCATTAAGGACTGAAATAGAACAAAACTGATGCACATGAAATGCATGTGCAGTTGACACCTTCACCTGCACAGCCTGAGGACAGATCAGCCTTTCCAAACCCACAGAGCTCTGCAATACACGAGACACCTAAGCACTTACGTTAATAAATAATAGGGTTGGACACTGGGCTATAAACAACAAATAAAGCTCTCCCTTTGATCTTTGTAAAATATTTAATGAAATCTCCCACAACTGAGTGACAAAAATATTACAAAACTGAACTTCAAAGATAGACCTTTCCTCCAATTATCAAAAACACTAACTTATGTTTCCCTTTGAGCTAGACTTCGCTACTTTTATGCAGGATGAGTAGCTCTACTGTGTGTTCACAGTCCCATTACCTTGTTACTCTAATTGCTGAGCTAAATTTACGTTTAGCAAATCTCACACTTTCTTGAAAAAGAAGAAAATGACAGGGACTTAACAACAGAGGTAATATAAATGGAGTATCAGAAAATCTACTCTGTATTTGCAGCTTGCAGTTCCTCAGCTACATCAATGATGATTACTTTTAAGTCTTCTTCAGATATTTATATTTAATAATTTTCACAAATGAGAACTGCTGTAATATTTGTTGTTTCAACACATAGAAAAATTGTTGGAAGTAACATCTAGACAGACCCGTCTTCACTTTAGTATTTATTAACTAATTCATAATTATTCATTAAAAATTCACAAATACATGTGATATTAGTCCAACATGCAGATGACAGAGGCTGGTGCTTAGAAAAACGCATTCATGCATCTTGAGTCACTCTGATCCACTAGTAGATGATGATCTGTCGATGCATTATGCCGTCATTTCATGGATGACAGGAGAACATTTAAATAGTTCATTCTGCTCTATGTTAACCTGGTCAGTGTTTCAGCCATCTCTCTTGGAATTTGTTGCTTTGGATAAATCCTTCTGTACACTTTTCTGTTTTAACACATGTAAATGCAAACACAGTCATTGTTCTGTTCTTCAGGGATTCTTCTTCTTGCTTTTCTGTTCTGCCTTAAGCTCTTTTATATTGCATCTGGACCCCAATGCTGTTAACATTTCTACTGTCGTCAGGTTGGCTCCTTTCATTATCAATCGATCTCCATCAGCTGCAAAGGAAAGAAATTTCAAGAACTCAAAGTCTAAGCCACAATTACTTCAGCGTGCAGTTGTGTTTTGTATACATAAATCCAAATACCCTGTTCATCTTGTCTGATTAGAAGGTAGTCCACTTACCACAAAATCTTATTATGCAACAAACAAATATATTAAAGTGCACTGAATGAGCCTGTAATCTTTATTTCTGCACTGCATTATTCAAAAATAACCATTTTTTCTAGATTTATCTATGGTAAGAACATGCATTTCATAAAAGTGCCTCACATTATACCCTCAAAGTTATCTAACAGAAGGTACTGCTATGCATAATTTCCACACATGGTACAGCACTTTAGCAGCATGTTGTATATGGTCCATTTAACTTACTTCTTTAGCCCAAACAGTGAATTGTTTTACACAATCTGGCAGTTACAACATCAGAAAGTACAGACCACTAGAATTTCTAAAATTCTGAGCACAAACAAACATAGCACTTTAAAACAGGGAGGGAGCATTAGAAACTAAGGGCAGTACCTAAGTTAATTTTTAATTTTTACAAGGTTTGCAAACATAAAAGATGTATCCAAACCTATATAATGCAATGCCATGCAGGGCACCCAAGTTCCAATAACAGTTGCCAACTGCAAGGGCTGCAAACTTCACTTGGAAAAAATCGGCTCTTAGTGAAGAGTTCAGAGCTCTTGGCTTTAGTGAAATAAATTGGTTTTGTTTTACACTAGAAAACATTAAGCTTTACTGCTTAAGTCTTAATACATCACAGTTAGAGTCATAGATGGGAAAGGCAGAGGCAAGGGGGCGAGAGAAACACCCATTGTCAACACTAAAATAATTTGTCTTTCCTCAGCAAAGTGAAGTGCATTCAGCACTTATGGCGTTTCTAGTGACTCACTAAATATATGAAAGCTTAAGAAAGGAGAGTAACAGGAAAAAATAATAATGAAAACTTTAATGGGCTACATGCCATATTGGGCCATTACAGCACAGCAGGAAAGAAGATGCAGCCAGAGAAAAGGACAAAAGCAGATTACAGCCATCTGTTCATAGCCTTGAATCTGGGCTGCTTCCAGAACTGAGGAAATTTCCACCATTGTCCCTTCCTCCTCACTGTACTCTCAAAGCAAACCGAGAAATTCACTGTACTCCAGTTGACCTCATTTTGCAAGGCCACCTGCACACGTATGGTCTTATATGAGCAGTTCCTTCAAGCTACACAGCAAGTTGCTCAGTTGTATAAGCAGCTGAAAGTACTAAACTTTTCTATTCTCAAGACCAAGATGCCTCCACCACAGGTAAAAATAAATAAATAAATTACAAAGTGAACAGATTCTTACATCAAAACAAAGCTACACGTCCTTCCCTGAAACTCTGTTTGATTGTGTGGTCCCACAAGTACGTTACTGCACAAGCAGACTCAACCCTACCAGGTCTAACTAGCACAAAGACATACATGCATGTTTCTATATATATCAAACCCTCAGCGACTCCCTCTTCCTTTTTTCCTCCCTGCTGCACATTTAGGTGTAAACCAGAACCAAAAACAAGAAACCACAGCAAAAAGTATCATAAAGGATACAGTAACGCTGTAAAAACACAAACTTGGAAGGTTTTTTTTGTAAGGATTCAAAAAGAACTCCTTACCAAACATAACATCGACAAGTGGTTCAGACCCATCGTGTCTCACATCCGCAGTCACCTCGCAGTTCCTGTTGGTGGCTTGTATTTTTTTACGGCTTATACATTCAAGAAATTTTCTGAAAGATAGATTTAAAGATATACTGAGTACACTGTAGGTAGAAGTTCAGCAAACACATGGAAAATATTTTAAAAACTGATTTGAACAGCTTGATGTGGCAGGGTGACAAAAGAGTAAACATAATGGAATTTGTATTTAATAGTTTCAGACGTACTTTTTATGGGGATTTTTTATTAGGATTTTTATTTATTTGGATTTTTTTTTTTAATGAGGATTTTTTCGTTCGGATTTTTATTTGTGAAAATCCACACGGATGTTCCTTATATACTTAACACGTAGAAAGAACTTCGCAAAACTTCAAGGCGTTTCTCCCAGCTGGGTTACTAACAAGTTATGTCAATTAACTTGGGGTTAATTGAAGTAACCCCAAGGTCATTGTGCCCCCCCCCAGCTCCTCAGCGCAGGCCCAGGTCACCCCCCCCCCCCGGCGCAGGCCCGAGGCCCAGGGCACACCAACGCCGCCGGGGGGCCGGGGCTGCCTCACAGCCCCCCGGCGCCCCTCACCTGGTGCTCTCCACGTTGGACTCGAAGGGGCAGAAGCGCACCACGATGCTCTTCACCGGCCGCAGCACTACGTTGATCTTGGTCGCCATCTTCTCGCTGCCCCTCTACTACAACTCCCAGCAGCCCCCTCGCGGAGGAGGGCAATGGGCGGGCGGGCTGTCTGCCGCAAGGCCGCCTGGGAAATGTAGTCCGCGAGGCGCTGAGACGGCCCCTCCCCCGGGTATTCCTACGAGCCTCATTTAATGATCTGGGGTTGCTCCAGGCTGTGCTTGTGTATAGTTAAAGGAGAGAGGCCAACTGACTCTTCTTTCGTCTGTGTAATGCCCTAAATCCCTATTTAGACATGGATTTAAGTACCCAAACATAAGCAGCATGAACCTAAGGTGTGAAGGTCTACTCGAGCAGAAACCATTGCAGTCATAGCCCCAAGTCTTTGTACTGACCTGCCCCTAAACAGTGTCTGATCTGAAATGTGCCAACAGCAGCTGGCTGCCCTACCGCAAAGGGATTACACCTTATGATTTCCACTTGTTCTGATCATATTCCCTGTTACAAACTTCTTAACTGGAGTAGATATTTTAGTATATTACAGGTGTGACAGTGATCCTCCAATAATACTAAAAAGAGGGGGAAAAAAGTATATGGAAAGAGGTAATATTTTTGTTAGTCCAGTAAAGTTAGAGAAAAAAGGCAAGCTTTTGACATAAAATTGACATAAAGGATCTGCTCAGGGCGCCAGTACCACTTAAAATTGTGTACCATAAGCAAAGGTTATGGAATAAAACAGGGAAGCTATCGTATTTTATCCATTAATTTAAGAAGTAAGGTTGCTTGGGAAGTCTGTATTTATTTATTTATTTATCTATTTGTATTTATTTTACTTTTACTTCTATCCCTATTAGGTGACAGATTTTGATGTCATTCAGAAGTACTGTAGTTTATTCAATATGATTGAGTAACTGAGGATATTAATGAGGATAAATATAACGGGTAGGCAATATGACCAAGGATATGTTAGAGGAAATATTTTGTAATATATCAACCAGAAGAGATGCATTTTGTATTGGAAGTGAATACATTTTTTTTTTTTTTCTGGTGAGTTATGTAATACACAATAAATGTTTATTCATTGTCTTTTGTAAAAACAAGGAGTTCTGTTTGAGGAACGGGAGTTGTGAAAACTCCCTGCTGAAGTAAGGAGCTGTATAATGCTTGGCTAGACACTATGAAAATTCTTTTGCTTAATGTAACAAAAAAGAGAACCCCCCCCCCCCCACCCCCCCTTCTCTCCTTCTGCATCTGTTGCCTCTTTTGTTTAAAGACACTGCTGCAAAGCTCATGTAACCATCTCCTGATAAATTGCTAACCTAGTGTATCAACATCCTGCCTTCCCATCTCACGCTGGGCCAACATGACCAAATAAAGAAAGAAGTTGAACCACAACGCCAAGGAAGACTATGGCCTTCAACTTCACGACCACCAGAGGGACAGAGACGACCCCCTAGCAACAGTGCGCGCAGTCGCAGAATATACCAGGATGCGCTGCGTAATCCCGGAATTACCAAGATATAAAAAGGGACCCTGGCGGGGGTGAGGTGCGCGCCGTTGGTGGAGCCGAGACTCCCCGGCCGCCCAGCGCTGTTTTGCTTGCTGTTGCTTACTCAATAAATTCCTTTCTATTATTAATGCAATGCTCTCTGAAAATTAATTAAGGGGGCAACTTATAACAGGTTAGATACCCAGTCTTTAAACAAAGGTTTTAGATATTCGTGGGGTTGGTGTAAGCTCTATATTTTCCACTAGATGGCAGAAACCTCCTTGATAAATTGTTGCAATGGTCTCATTACTTTGTTCTGCTCAATGCTATTGAGATCTTATTATGGATTAGGGATACGACGGAATAAACCTAGTAGTAATGGCATTTGAACACGTTGTGAATTTTTATTTTAATATTCAATACAGGCCTGTTTTTCCAGTCTTCGGGAAATGCATTGAATATCTAGCATCCTTTGTAAAGGGTAACCTATTCTCAGAAGCTTATTTTTGTTTATTGGAAGTCCTCTGTGTTCTTTTTTAATAACACAGTTATTGAGAAAAATCATTCTCTTCACTGAGATTTAGCCAATAGAAATTAAATAGTAAAACTAAACTCAGAGGAGTCAATACAGTTTTAATGTTTTTATTCTCTCTCTTTCTCTCTCATTTTTTTAATCATAGTCTTTCCATTATGGGAAAACAATACATTTATTTGAAATGTCTTTTGAAAGAATCTCTATAACCAACATATGGCTGATGTTAATAGAATTTTTTTCCTGAGTAAGATATAAAGGAACAGATCCAGGACCAGGTAAATGGAATACTTTATACTTAGTAGGTAAAAGTAACTTACAAAATGTCAATATATCTTTCTTTATCATAACACAAAGAGCTTGATCTATTCCACTTAAAATCTGTAGCAAAATTTCCATCAGCTTCTGTGATAGCACTGAAGGAACAGCATCAGCAAAGGACTGAAGAAGAAAGAATGATCACTGATTTTTCTAAGGGCTCTGCTCTACACATTGTTTGTACTATGACACTCACTGACTTCAAAATAGCATGGCAAAAATATTTTATATTTCCTCCTATTCCTCCTATTGTATTTTGATAGTAATTTAGTGTAGGCTGTCTAACTTATGCTGCACAGTTAAATGAACAAAAAAAATGTTTTTTTTTTTTTTTTTTTTTCTTTTCTTACCAGGAATTTATTGTCAGCAGTGAAAAATACATCTTTCTTATTAAGCGGTCTGTTTAGAATAACTGAAAACCATTTCTGCCTTTTAAAACTTATTTATTTATTTACTTATTTATTTATTTTGAAGACTGGGAGATTTGCAGTAACATGAAAAAACAGGTATATGTAAGCAGAAAGGTTCTATGCTATTTTCAAAGAATAGAATGTGTCTGTGAATGGAAACCAAGGGACTGTGTATCCTTCCTTACATGTTGACAAACAAGTTTTTTTCTACACACACTCTAGATGCAATAATTTTAGCTTATGATAATTCTGGTGAAAGTGTGCTAACTTTTATAGGAAATAAATTAGATAGGTAGCCAGCAAGGTGACACAGCTATTAAAAAGAACAGCATTTCTTCATCTGCCTTTAAGCCCAGGCGGTAGTTAACCCCAGTATGTTCAACTACTCTCAATTTATACCAGAGTAATTCCAACTGACCTCTGAAGCACAACATTTAAATTCCTTTTCAGAAAAACTGATGATTTGTCCATGAGGGACATTGAATCAGTTCCTCCAACTCAAGCAAGTAATCTGGGAACAGTCAAATATCTGCATTTGAGGCTGTTCTCCAGGGACGTTTGGAAACTGAATGATTCATGATTCTTATACCTGGTGATGATACACATTCCCAAAGCATAGTAACATGAAGAGGCATGAAAGATACAATATTATAATAGAAATAATTTTAATATTCCTTTCACCAGGCTGATCATTTTTATTACAAACGTTGCCTCATCCCAAGTCTACAGCTTTTCATGTCATTAGTTTCACTGAAGTGTAGTCATGAGCCTGTAGATGATTTATATCTAGGCACCATATATAGCAAGGAAAAAAATGCAGCCACCTTTTACACTTTAATTATGAAGATGGGCAGAAAAAGACCATCACATTAATTATAGTCAGTCAATTTTCATCTTTTCTCATTAATCCTCACTGTTCTCCTAGATCCAGGGAGGATTCTTTTCTTTACTTATCACATTCCTGTTCTGTAATGTTTTATGACTATAGAAAGGCCCACATTTCAGAGGTCTTGGTGTCTGATGTCTCCATAGTTTGGACATGTTTGGTTTTAGCATCTTGGCTAAGGCTTTTGATTACTCTGAATGTGAACTGAAGCTCATTTCTTCCCTTTAAATCTGGTGATCTTTCAGTTTCTTCTAAAACACTGCATGACAGAGGGCTCTCAAGACTTCTTTTCAGGTATGGTATTGTACCTCCATGCACTTGGTTCTGCAGTTGGTTCTGTGGTTGTCCGCAGCTGATTCCTTACTCTGCATGTTCATCCTTTTTTCTTCTGTCTGAGTCTTGTCACAAATAGGGATAGGTGCAGCATTTAGCAAGCAAAATTTCATGTCCACACATCCAGCTGTAACACTGTGGAGTCTAGGAATAAAATTTAATGCTGCCTTCAGGGAGGTAGCCACTGCTAAGAAGAAGAGAGGCAACACAAGTCTAGCAGCCTGCCTGTTTTGCACTGAGGTGATGCTCCCAGGCAGCCACCCAGAAGAAGCTCTTGGAGGAAGAAAATGCACTGCACCTGCAGTGCAGAATGAGTTGTTTTTTTTTCCAGGAAAAGAAAAACATTCCAATGGGAGTGATGTCATGAGGCCTATCCTTGTAAGAACTATGGACAGAAAAGGTCAAGATCACAGAGGGCTTGTAGGAAGTCGTTATAAAATACTAGTGCCATGCTGAAGGACAGGATGAATCCTCTACTGTACTGGAGCAGCACTGATTATTGTACTAAGTCATAAAAATATAAACCAATCCATGTTTTTGTCTTGTTTTGTTTCTTCCTTTGAACTGGATATTCTTACACCATATGCCAGTTATTGAATTTTTAAAATGTTTCCCCAAATAAGAGTTTATAAAGATCCTTTATGCCTCTTAAAATCATAGAAGTTAAACATGGTTTTATGCTAATAGTACTACTGAATTTGTGTATCATTAATAAACCAACTAAAAGTTGAATGCTGTTAATGTGGTTTTCAGAAGCAAAATTAAACTCAACCAACAGAAGTGCTGCTTAAAACGAGCTTGGTTTACAGTTCATTCTGAAATAGTAACTGCATATCATTTAAGAAAAGCTTTTACAGGAGTGAATAAACAGATTCCCTGGTTGCTCTTTACTCCTCTGCAAACATGTATTTCTGTTGCCTGAGGTTGGCAATTGCCAGCAGAAATGTTTGCTAAAATAACATGCAGTATTTAACTGGCTAAGAACATACTGTGCCAGTCCTTGGCTTTTGTAACTTGATGATTTCTTGATGATAATAGCTACATCTTCACGTGAGGTAGAACAAAAGCTTCACTTCATCTGTTTTTCTTCTCTGTGTAATAAATACCACATTGAATACATGCAGCTATCATTTGGATTTTTA